GCTTGAATCCTGGGTGCAAAAACTGAAGCTACAGAGATGATGATGGCTTTTATGTTTTGAATACGTTGAGACAGGCAGACAGCTACTCACAAAGTTTAGTGACCTAAACACGGCTTTGTCCTTGGCTTCTTTTCGGACACGTGAACTAGTTATTAGGAATATTTGTACATAATTGAGTTCTTAAAGTTTAAAATGTGGGAAAGCAATAGTGAGAGAAAGAGAGAGAGGCTGCTCATCGGATTTTACTTTTGCACTTTAAACCATGCTGGAAAAGAAAACAAACGCAGACACCATTATTTGAAAAATTATATATATGATTGTAGTTCAATCTTTTGCATGCAGGCAGCATGCATCCGGTGGAAGCTTTCTTACATATCATAAATCTATTGTCAGTTACAGGAGGATTTTGTTCGGGTCAGATCAAATTTAAAAATTTATTTGAAAGTTATAATTTAAAAAAATTGTTCTGAGATTATTAACTTCTCCTCAAGATATAAACAGGATATACAATACATCATATATATATTTTTTATGTGAGGTTTTATGTATTTGATGTAAGATTAATGCTATCTCACTCTCGTAGTCAACTTGTCCCCTCTTTCAAACGAGAGAGTGGCATTCTTCACCATCTAATCTCGGGACGTCATTGTTATGAGCTCGTATTTGCTATTAGTTCGCTCTAATTACTTCACTTGTCGAAGTGTTCGACATGAAATCATATAGTCAAAGTATTATCTCAATATCACTTGTCACAAATTCATTATCATCTAATTAAATGATATATTTTATCTGTCTTATTAAATTCGTTTCTTTTATATTTTAAAATTGTCATTTTGAAAAAAAACAAAAATAAAAATTTACTAAACATATTTCCGTTTCTAATTTTGTTTTAGTTTTCTAAGAAAGTAAAATTTAACTTTTTCCAGATGGAATTATCATTTTACTTTTTTACAACACTTCTTTAGTACAAACGTTTTATTTCTAAAATAACGTGAAAAGTCAACAATAGACGATATAGATAAGGCGGAGAGATTACATAATATCACTCTTTTTAAAGCTTTATTTCTATTATTTTTTATGTGAGATTTAATATGATAAATTAGATTTTTAAACCGATAAAGGGTTTAATTTTGTTATTAAAAACTATAAAAAATGATTTCCCCCTCAAATCTATCATCCCATTTTACAATTAATTATTTTTTATAGAAAGCCGTTACTTTTATTAAAAATAAAAAATATCCAGAATTGTAATGATACGAAATAAACGAAAAAATACACAAAATAAAGATATGAACAAATCTGACTGCATCAAAAAACGAACCACAAAATGGGACTAACCTACTGAAAGACCATCGACAAATCAATCCGAGGGTCCAAAACAGGGAATATCAGATGATAACAAATAAACGTCATCTTGATTAGTTGTGGCGATGTCAAATCCAAACCTGAGAAAAAAGATAAACAAACAATGGCTAAACGACTGAAACTATCAAAAGATGTATAAAAAAACGTGTTACAAAGACAGAGATAAACGTGTCACAAAAACATAATTATTCTTATTAAAAAATTAAAAAATAAATAAACAATCGATGATCAACAACTAGTATCAAAACGGGTGTCGTCGCCAGTTAAAGAAAATAAAAAAGAAATTAATTTAATCTATAAAAAATGTCACGAACTGTAAAAAAATGGCTATCTGTTGAACTTTCTGTTATAATTAATTTTAAAATTTTAAAATTTAAAGTAACCCACCGAAATCAGCAACCAAGGTATGTAATGTCTGCAATTGCAGCTAATTGAGTGCAGTTTAATCTGTTTGTATTTTAACTAATCAGTCCTTTACCGTTATCGTCGCTTAGAATGAAAATATCATGTTCTCTGGAGTTAGTATACTTGTACATAACTGCATAATGTTGCTATGTTAGTATTTAATTACATCATTATGTCTGTTGTAGATCAAACCATTTCACTCCAGCTTATCTACCAATAGATTCTGCAACTAACATACTATTATCTTCTACTGGTTTGGAGATTTTCAAGTATATTTATCGAACTTGAGCAGGAGAACCGAAAGCTATTCCATGGAAGCAACGTTCGCCTATTCACTGTTCTTCTGAAGCAATACCTCACATTAATGTTGGAGTTGGAGATGTTTACTGCTGGCCAATGAATCTCGGATGGGTGATGGGACCGATTTTACTCTTCTCGTGCTTTCTAACTGGTGCAACCCTTACTCTCTATCATTGATCGCCTTTGGGCCGCTGTTTCGGAAAATTTGTTCAGGATGCAGGAGTAATTTTTTGGGCACGGTTCCAAGTTTAGTGAAAACTGGGAAAAATACAAACTGCATGGAGGGCTTAGACTGGACAAAGATAAAGTAAACTTTCTTTCCCTTATCCAAAATCTTAACTTTTGCATCAGTTATAATTCTCGTAAATGAGACTCGACCGTTTTCCAATGCAGATCTTTTCCACTGGAGAAGCCTCTAAAGTCGATGATGACCTTTGGCTATCCTCGAAATATTACTGCAAGCCGATTCTTGAATGTTGCGGAGGCACAAAGCTAGCATCAAGTTACATCATAGCAAGTATGCTGCTGCCACAAGCTTTCGGAGCATTTAACACTGCATCGATGGCAACTAGTTTTGTTATCTTGGACGAACACGGAGTTCCTTACGTAAGAACGTAATCCGGAAGTTATGAAATGGTTATAATACTAAAGGAGTATATATACATTACATATATATGTCTGACCTGTTCGACCTTTGTGACAGCCGGATGATAAAGCCTGTGTTGGTGAAGTTGGTTTATTCCCTCTCTTCTTTGGAGCAACTGATAGATTGCTTAACGCTGATCATGACAAAGTTTACTTCAAGGGAATGCCTACATTTAAGGGAATGGTATGGTCAAATTCTGTCCCCCTTACTAAATTTTTTGGATTCCGTGGTAAATATTTCTGTCGATTACACGATGAGTTTGATTCCCGATCCTTAGAACAATATTCGAGCAACGATTGCTTTGTAATTACCCCTTGAAAAATGCTTGGAACGAGTTATCTCGTTGTTTGATGCTTGCTTTGACAGCGCCTTAGGAGACATGGGGATATCCTCAAGAGAATGGTCGGAGGGTACCTTGTTGTTCAAGGAAGGGCTGACGACACGATGAATCTCGGTGGCATTAAGGTATTCCATCCTCGAGAGAACGTTTGATTGAACTCGAGATAATCGGTCTCCTCCCGAAATCATAAACTTCCCTTCTTTTGCAGACGAGCTCCGTTGAAATCGAACGCGTTTGTGACCGAGCCGATGAAAGCATTCTGGAGACTGCTGCAGTCAGCGTGGTACCACCCGATGGTGGTCCAGAACTGTTGGTGATTTCGTGGTTCTCAAGAAAGGTTTCGATCAGCAGCCAGGGAAGCTGAAGGCGGTCCTCTCGAAAGCCATTCAAGCCAACCTCAACCCCTTGTTCAAGGTTCGGATTCCTAGCTAAGCATAACCGTTTAACTCGATCCGAACGCTTGGATTCGGAAGTTGAAATCAAATCCATTTTCATCTGCATTAAGAGAGGAATATTGGCTGTTGATTGATCAGAGGTGAACGGTGTGAAGATCATCCCAGAACTGCATCTAACAAATTGCTTAGGAGGGTCTTGAGAGACCAAAAAAGCAGGATGTGAAGGCCTGCAAACTTCAGCAATGCTTCAAGAATCATATATTTTAACTCTAAACAACAAACTCGTAGTTAGACTACTTTAGATTCAAGTTTTTTTCTTTCTTAAACTTTTGTTATTTTAATCGATTACATTATAATCGAACATAAATTTTGAGTTTTTGAAATTTATCTCCTTGTTTAAGGAAGTATATATATATATATATATATATATATATATAATTAATTCAAGTTTGAATAATTATATTTATACGAGTGTGAATTAATTCAAATATAAAATCGAACATAAACATTAACTCATAATCTTATTAAAATGATAAAAAAAAAACAACGGGGACTGATGGTTTACCCTACATTTTACTTGCTTTCGGCTTTTTGAATATAATCAATTAGGTCAAGAGAATGATTGTATACTCGAAACAACATGTACATTAAGGATTTCTCTCTCTCTTTCTCTCTCTTTTTTTTTTAATTTTACATTGAAATTTAAATTTTATTTATTAATTGGGTAAGTTGCCCGTTTAATATTTAAATTATCAGTTCTGGTTCTTCTTAGTATATAAAGTCTCATTTTTTTTTAAAATCACACATAACATTTAGTTTTTATTTTATTTTAGTATCCCATTAAAAACTTAATGTTAAATTTTTTAAAAAATTTGAAAGTTTAGACACTAAAATGGATCAAAATTGATAGTTTAGGTTCTAAATGTGTTAAGTTTTTACAACAGGGTACTGATGTAAATAAAAATTAAATGTTATGTATGGTTTTGAATTTTTTTAAAAGTTTATGTATTAAAATGGATTAAAACTGATAGTTTATGTACTAAATAAATAATTTACTCTTATTAATTTAACAAAACAAAATAGGGTAAGTTACACATTTAGTACCTAAACTATCAATTTCGGTCTATTTTAATACTTAAACTTTCAATTTTTTCAAAGTCATACCTAAAGTTTGATTTTTATTTCATTTAAATACCTTCATTCAAAATTTAACGTTAAATTTTAAAAAAAATTAAAATTTTAAATACTAAAAAATAAAAGTTTAAGTACTAAAATTAATTTGTAGTTTTATGGAATTAAAATATCTTGAATTCGTAATTTAAGGAGTAATCGGGGGGTTAAATGTAATTTCCATAACTCCAAATATTTATTACTGCACAGTAAATACAGTGGCGTAACTTGGGTGCGTTTTGAGACCGTTCATTTCCTCTTACCCGCAAATCTTGCATGGACATATATAATTTGTTTATTTTTTTTATAAATTTATTTAAGTTTTTGAATTGAATGTAGTTTAAAATAAAATCGAAAATTCGGCTATCGCAGAGACAAAGCGAGAAGAAACTTTTCTAATAAGTAAAGGAAAAAGAATAAAATATACAGAAATCGGAGAGAATAAAAGGAAGCTTTTGAAAAAAAGTGAAAATAATTTCATCTTATATTTCTTCTTCTCCGCTTGTGTCTGCGTAACTATTAGGGTTCTTTTTTCCTTTTTTTAGTCTGCTCGGATCTTGATTATTCTCAACGACGGATTTCGAGGTTTGCCCTCTCTGGGTATGTAATGATTAGTTGAATTTATCTGTGCATTTGAATCGTTTATGAGGTGTTTGTATTTTCTTTTTGTATCCTTTTGTAAGGTATTAGCAGATCGATTTTTTTTCTTTTTTTATTTTAAAAGATTTTTTTTAACATATTTCATGATAAAGTTGCACTGGGGGGGGGTTTGTTTGTTGATTATGTGGCGTAGGCAGCTTCCCCCCCCCCCCCCAAAAAAAATTCAATCGAATAAATCGTTGTTTCTGTTTTTTATATTAAGTTTCGGGGTTTATTCCCTATTTCTTCGAGTTGATGGTTTACATTAGCATGCTGCATTTGTGTGATTAATGAAGTAAGATATGATTGCATCATTTGTTTTGATGGGTTTATGATTTTTTTTAATGATTTGTCCAGGTTCAATAAATTTCATATTGGGGAAAATTAACTTGGTGGATTTTGACTAGAAAGGGTTTTCTTGAAAAAATCGGAATCTTGGGTGTTTGTGAATTGTAATGACTACACGAACATCATGGGCAGATTTGGCTGCAAATTCTGCAGCTGAGAATGTAGGTGTTGGCTCTTCTTCTGATAGCATCAAAGTTGCTGGTTCCACTTCAGGTGGTGGGCGACCTGCTTATGTTCCTCCACATCTCCGTAACCGTCCGCTGTCAGTAGACCCACCTGCTCCTACTTCCAGTGGCCCTGCTTCAAGTAATGATCGACCTGGACAAGGGGGATCGAGTTGGGCTGCTGCTAGGAATGGTTATAACAACCGATCTGGGTACGGTGGTAGTGGTGTTCGAGGATGGGGTGGCAGAAGTGGTGGTTGGGATCGTGGGAGAGATAGGGAAGTTAATCCGTTTGGAAATGATGATGATACAGAGCAGGCATTTAGTGAGCAAGAGAATATTGGAATCAACTTTGATGCCTATGAAGACATACCCGTGGAGACAAGTGGTGACAATGTGCCACCACCTGTTAATACTTTTGCTGAGATTGACTTAGGTGAAGCTCTCAATCTTAACATCCGGAGGTGCAAGTATGTGAAGCCAACACCTGTTCAGCGGTATGCCATCCCGATTTCACTTGCCGGAAGGGATTTGATGGCATGTGCTCAGACTGGCTCAGGAAAGACAGCTGCCTTTTGTTTTCCAATTATCAGTGGAATTATGAGAGGTCCTGTTCCACAAAAACCATTACGAGCACGCACAGTATTCCCATTAGCTCTTATGCTCTCACCTACCAGGGAGCTGTCGATGCAAGTGAGTGTCATATCTTGACAATTCAAGTGATGTGCTCGTATTAATAACTTGAAATTTATATTCAGTGACAATTATTGCAGATACATGAGGAAGCCAGGAAGTTCTCTTATCAAACAGGTGTTAAGGTGGTTGTTGCTTATGGAGGTGCTCCTATTAACCAGCAGGTAAATTTTCTCTCTATTTCTCTTTATTTTCGATTACCTTTAATTTATATTAATCAGAATTTCCTAATATAGTAGTGCTATGGTTTTGATGACTAATCCCTTTTATTGAAAAAGAGTTTCACTCTTAATTTTGCTGGTCAAAGTGAAACCTCTGCTCTTGAAACAAATAGTATCCTTCTTTACCATATTTTAAGTTTATATGTTCATCCCAGTGCTGTCAAGAGTGCAATGTGCTCTCCAATTGCCAGAATCCATATACTTCCTAGTGCAAAAGGGACAAAAAAGTGTTTTTGTATGTGTGTGTATGATAAGATTAAGATATATAATCATGATAACAAAATATATAGAGTAGCGTGGTTTATCTAAAAAACACACAATTTTTTTATCGATCAATATGTATAACATTCTCTGTTTGATAGTATCCCCTCTTTACTAGTAAAGTTAGGTATAATGAAAAAAATTAAAAGAAAAAGAAAACTTCAAATAGGCACAGATATTTTATGCCTACCTCCTTTGAAGAAAAGCACACGACCTAAGCACTTATCAGATGCCCATTGCCTGAAAGAGTACGAGTCGCTTTCTTCTTCAAATATTTGGCATTCTGTTATCATTTAATCTCTAATTCTAGGTCATCATTTTTTCTTAAACTGTATGTTTGAAATTTATTTCTGTTTGTTGAAGTTGATGTTATTTGATTTGAACAGCTGAGGGAGCTAGAGAGAGGTGTTGATATTCTTGTAGCAACGCCTGGAAGATTGGTAGATTTGCTAGAGAGGGCTAGAGTTTCTCTGCATATGATCAGGTACTTGGCTCTTGATGAGGCAGACAGAATGCTGGATATGGGTTTTGAGCCTCAAATAAGAAAGATTGTGGAGCAAATGGACATGCCTCCACCTAGTGTTAGACAAACAATGCTATTCAGTGCCACCTTCCCAAGAGAGATACAGGTTGATCATATCTTTGCAAAGAACCCTGCTAGGATCTAAACAATTGATCATTTTCTTATCAGTTTTCAATGCTTTGCTCATGCACTAACTCTCTATACTAAGTAGTTCTTTATTAGATGCATACATGGCATACATGTTACTGTGATGCTGATTATATAAGGTTATTCTTAGTTACATTTGCATTATTTGTGTTGGAATTTTAGATTTTTATTGGTAAAAGGGAGAGCACTACAGCTAAGAAAAGTTCTTTAGCGAAACTCTATTCTATTCTTGCCACTTAAATTGCAACCAAAATTGCCCCCCTCCCCCCAAAACAAAAATAAAATAAAATAAAAACTGCAACCAAACTGGTACTTACCGCTGAGTGCTATTTGGAGTCTGTGTACCTAGCTTTTAGGTAACTATTTACCCTTTCGTTATTGTTTCATGCAGAGACTGGCCTCTGATTTTCTAGCAAATTATATTTTCTTGGCTGTGGGGCGAGTTGGATCAAGTACCGATTTGATTGTCCAAAGAGTTGAATTTGTTCAGGAGTCAGACAAAAGAAGTCACCTTATGGACCTTCTTCATGCTCAGAGAGCAAATGCTTCCCAGGGCAAGGTACTAATGTTTTCGACTTGTAATACTTTATCCTAATGATGTTAATTGAAAATCCTGTATGACTCAGATTAGCTCTATTGCAAATCGTCTATTTTTGGTTTTGGGAAATTGACAAGCTTCTTATTAGATAATCTTTTATTCTAATCGTGCAGCAAGCTCTTACATTAGTTTTTGTTGAGACAAAAAAGGGAGCTGATTCGTTGGAATATTGGCTCTGCATGAATGGTTTTCCTGCAACTACTATTCATGGTGATAGAAGCCAGCAGGTAAGTACGCATGTTTTTGTTTTGAAATAATCTTCGGCTTGCATCAATCATACTCTGTACTTACTTTTTATTTGACATAAATCATATTCTCTGCCTCCCGTATATTTTTGCAATTCTTCATATAGGTGTGTATCACTGTTGTTTCTACTCTTGTAAGGTATTGTTTTGACCGTGGCTCACAATTCTTTTACCTCTTGTTAAAATGCCAATTTATTGTGTATGTTGCAGGAAAGAGAACAAGCATTACGGTCATTTAAGAGTGGTGCTACCCCAATCCTAGTAGCTACTGATGTGGCAGCGCGTGGTCTTGATATTCCTCATGTTGCGCACGTGGTGAACTTTGACCTTCCCAATGATATTGATGACTATGTTCATCGAATTGGACGAACAGGGCGTGCAGGCAAAACTGGTTTAGCCACAGCCTTCTTTAATGATAACAATTCATCCTTGGCAAAGTCATTAGCTGATCTAATGCAGGAAGCAAACCAAGAGGTGCCTGCTTGGCTCACTCGATATGCAGCTCGTTCATTTGGAGGGAGGAATCGTCGCCCTGGAGGAGGCCGATTTGGTAGCCGTGACTTTCGGAGGGATTCATCTTTCAATAGGGGCGGATCAGATTACTATGGTGGAGGCAACAATGCAGGCGGGTATGGTGGAGGCTATGGTGCTAATGTTGCCAGTTCATGGGATTGACAAATTTGCATTTCTTATTAGTTGTTAGCAGAGCTTACCTTTCAATCATAGGGACTATTTTATTTCTTTGGTTTACTTTTACTTATATTTTTCTGGTAAATCTTAGCAAGTGTCGAAAGAGTCAAAGGAAATTGTGTGCATTGTGTTAGTAGGCATTGGTGAAGAAATTCTAACCAAAAATAGGCATCACCGCTTCCTCCCTGTTGCTGTCATATACTGGTCATTTTACTGGTAATTTTGTTAGGTAATATCACATCTTGCAGAATATGTTGTGGGAGAGAGGAACAACACATCTTGTCTGCCATCTCGCTGCCGCAGGCGGTGGTAGTTCGGGTCTTATTTTAGCATCAGATGTACCGTGCTGTACTCTACTGTAATGATATCATTGTGAAAAACGAATTCTGGGAGCTCTTTAAGGTTATAAGAATCCATGTATTTTTTTTTATAAGATTTATTTCCCCTTTTTGAATCAGATTCGTATTGTCCTTTATAATAGTTAATTCAGGTCATAGTAATGGGACAACATTGTTAGTGAATTGTTTTGTTGAATATTTGCCCTAATTGGTGGGCTTTGAGGTGCATAAGCAGACCCACTCTTATTGGGTTGGTTTTTAAAAGAAAGTTTGGGGTCGGGTCGGGTATTTAGAGATGTTATGTTCGGGTTAGATTTAGGTTAGGGTTAAAAATATTTTATCCGAATTGAAAAGTAATATAATTTTGTCTTTTATATTTATGGATAATTGGAATAAGAATCTTTTATATATTATTTTTACAATTAAATTCATATTTTTATTGAATAAAATTAATATTTTTTTTATAAATATATTATTTTGGATCGGATTACGGTTTTATCTTAAAAACGTAGATCGAGTTCAAGTCGAGTGGAGGTCTGAAGAGTATATAATTTTTGGATTTGAGTATGATAAAAGATATAATTTTCAAGTCGAGTCGGATTTAACAAAAATTCAGCCCAACCCCATACCCATCCCTAATCCTACCTTACCTACCTTGTGAGTGTCATAGGTGATTGGATCATGTCAACGACGATACCGAAGATCTATGGATAATTTAGAATGTGTATTTGAAACATGGCGGGAGCTGAAGAGTCATGGAGAAGAAATGTAGGAGGTGACTGGAAAAGGGAGCGACGTCAGCTAGGAGTTTCTGTTTTCGTCGATAATGTCAGTAAGAGAGTCCCCCAAATGGCTTTGAAGGAACTATTTCAATCGTACAGAGCTGTTTTAGACACCTACATCGCATACTCGAACCTGAAAAGAAAGACAATGAAGACTACATTCGCCTTTGTCAGATTTAGAAACTGGGACGAGGCGAAACGTGATGTGAAATCGGGATACGGGAGACAGATAGATGGTCATATATTATCAGGGTTTACCTTAGCTCAAAACGGAGAGAATGACATCTAAAAATAGGTGAGACAATAAAAAAGGCAAGGCGGACAAGTTATGCTCTTATAGATTCGAGAACTTTCAAAGAAGTGCTGATCGGAAAAGCAAGACCTAGCAACAATGGGGACTTGAATTGTTCGACAGAAGTGGTCACACCCCGATTTTCATTAGTTTTAATTTAAATTGATTTGTAATTAATTATGAGAACCAGATCGTAAAAAAAAACTTTGAAAACATGAGGTCAGTTTTTAACAATTACAGAAAGCTCAGGGACCTAACCTAGAATTATTCCATCAGTCTTTAACTTTGAAAAATAAATATAAAAAATATAGGGGTATAGTGCCCCAAGTCCTACCATTTAGCCAAGGCACTATTTTAATATATTATATTAAAATTATGTTTTATAATTACTTAGTTTGGATTTTAAATTCTATATTATTTTTTTCATTGAATTGGAACTAAACTTAAAAAAAAGAAAAAAATAAATAGGAAAGGTTTTCCAAACTCGTCGCCCCTCCGTTCACTGATCTTCGACTGACGGTGGAGTGCACCGCTATCACCATTTTGTTCCTCGTTGTCCTCCGATCAAAATCCCTCTGCAAATTTTTCGAAAGTCGATGTCGTTCGCTTTGAATCAGCAATTGTTTGCTCGTCGAAAATCCAAAATCGTTCTTTTCTTCTCCTTGTGATTCCGCCACCACAAGCGACTGTAGGCCCCGACACCACCAACGTTCGACTCGTCGTCTCACAACGAGAAAAACCCGACCAACCTCTCTCCGCTTAAGCCCACCATTTGCCGTGAATCAACTGAGAAAGTGTCATCGGAAAATTTCACCCATCGTCCAGGTTTTCACAATTTTCGTGCCGATTCCATCGTCGGTTGACCTCACCGCCATCGCTGGTCCCCGATCAGTTTCGATCATAATCCAACCGATATCGTTCCCTCCTATCGTCATTTTCTCTGTCTGCCATTGGGGTAAGCTTCAATTGTTTTTCTAATTTAAATTTCATCGAGTTTTGGCTGATTTTTGAACTGATCTGAGTTGTTTGTATTTTTGGTTACCCTCAAAGTGTTCGGCCGTCGTCATTGTCCCTGTCATCCGTCACTAGGGATAGGCATGAGTCGGATTTCGGCCAACCCGAAAATTTTACATCCTTCACCCAACCCAACCCAAAAAATATATACCATCCACCTGACTCGAACCCGATCAGATTTTTTGAGATAAAATCTGAACCCGACTCGACCCGACCCGATATAATAAAAATATTATTTTTATTCAATAAAAACAAACTATTCACACAAATTGTTAACAATTTATTTACAAAGAATATGAAACTCTCTATAGGGTTTTTGGAACAATCACTGGACTAGAGTTCTGTTGTTGAGGGAGGCTTTTCCAAGGGTATTCAGTTTAGCAATTAAAAAAGAGGGTGTTGAATAATCGGGTAAAGTAAACGAAAGAACACAAGAATTTTAACGAGGTTCGGCAATGTGCTTACGTCCTCGGTGCCTAGGCGGCGCTAGAAGTTTTATTCAATATCTCATAGGTTTAGGTTACATCTCTATTTATAATAGAAAATCCTGGTACATAATTATAAAATTAACCCCCACCGCTCCGTCCCCTGTCCTCTTTACCGTTATATTTATGAGTCATACCTTAAAGAGGGTAAGCTGGTTGAGTTTGGTAACAGAATCAATGGGAGATGGGAATGGAACATAGATATCAGAAGAATGTTATACTCATGGGAATTCAGTTTGTGGGATGACTTTATTCTAACATTAGATGAAGCAGTCCAAAGTAGCACTGGAAAGGACAAAGTTCGCTGGTTAGGCTCCCCAAGCGGAACGTATACCCATAAATCCTTCTGCTCAAATGCAGTATATGACGAGGAGGTGCGAGATAATTTTTGGAAGATGGTGTGGTCAAACTTAGCTACCCCGAAAGTGGAGATTCTTGTGTGAAGAGTTGTGTTATAAAGATTACCGATTCTTGAAGAGCTAAGTAAGCGGGGAGTCGTCAATCCTGAATCTTGTGTTTGTGTGTTGTATATAAAAGAAAGGGAGTAAGTGAATCATTTGTTTTGTCGGTGCGAGGTAGTTTGGCGAGTTTGGATGAGATGGTTTACACTGTGGAAAATCCACGTTGTGTGTCCTGGGAGTATAAGAGCTTTTATGTGCCTCTGGGAAAGCTTATCGATCAATAAAGCATGTATGCCAATATGGAAGCTAGCCTTTTTCGGTTTGTTTTGGTCGGTCTGGTTAAGCAGGAACAATATATTGTTTAATAAGAGTTCGTTTAATGAAGATAATTTATTTGAATCGACCATAGTTAGAATCGAGTGTTGGTGCAGTTGGAAGTGGCATGAATGTTGTCCTGTTGGGGAAAACGGGTTATTTCTCACACGAACGTAGTTTTAAAATTGACCTAAAATGTCAAGATTAAAACCACCAAAGGTTGCACAGCGGATAAACCTGTCAAACTATTGAATATTGAAACACAATGGAAAAGAACCGAATAAAAAATAATAAAGGAGAGAACACACCAAATTTACGAGGTTCGACGAGAATATCGTCTACTCCTCGAGCACCACACCGGATGATAACTTCACTATATCGCCAATATTACAACAAATGGAATTATTTGGAATTCCCAAAGTGGGAGAATGAAGAATACAAGAGGAAGAGAGAACTTGTTTTTGGGATGATTTCTAATGGAAATACTTAGGCCTATTTATAGTTGAGTTTCAAGAACAATATGTTCAAAGTTTGGCCACCTACCAAAGAATTTTCCAATGTGTACAAGTTAGCCACCAAATATGAAATTCACATGTTCAAAGTTTGGCCACCAACCAAGATGAAATTTCCAACTTGTCAACTTAATTTCTAGACAAATCTAACAAATCTCCACCTTGGCTTGAAATTACCAAGCCTACTCAACTTCTTCAACTCCCCAAATTTGTAGTGCCTCTAATTGCGCTCACAAGCGCCACACACCCGAAGGTGTTCATACTTTCAGGATGTTAATCAAGTTCAAACAATGATTGAACTCGATTACTGTTACCACCTTGGTCATCATATCTGCAGGATTTTCTGATGTCGCAATTTTCTGAAGTAGAATCTTTCCTTCTTCAAAGATCTCCCGCACAAAGTGATACCTCACGTCGATATGCTTAGTCCTTGAATGGTAGACTTGATTTTTCGCTAAGTGAATAGCGCTCTAACTGTCATAATAGAGACTAATGTGACTTTGAACAACTCCCAAGTCTTCCATCAACCCTTTAAGCCAAATTGCTTCCTTTACAGCCTCTGAAACTGCCATGTATTCTACCTCTGTAGTAGACAAGGCCACCGTAGATTGCAATGTAGACTTCCAACTTACTGGGGCTTTAGCAAGAGTAAACAAATACCCAGTAGTTGATCGACGCTTATCCAAATCACCAGCATAATCGGAATCAACATATCCAACCATACACTGACCAAGTGCTTCATCCTGTTCAAAAACTAAACCAACATCCACGGTTTGTTGGAGATACCGTAGAATCCATTTCACAGCTTGCTAATGTCCTTCTCCAGGATCATGCATGTACCTGCTCACAACTCCAACTGCTTGTGAAATGTCAGGACGCGTACACATACATCAAGCTCCCAACTGCATTAACATATGGAACTTTTGCCATATACTATTTTGGATTGCTATCAATTCATATAGAGGGTCCTGGTTGGAAAGATTATATCCGACAGTGGAGGGAGCCATTGATACTTTTATGGCCGAATGAGGTGGTGGAGCTATGATGTCTATCTTTGTAGATAGATTGCTACTGTGGTGTCAAGTTAATGGTTGGATTCTAGGATGTGTGCTTAATAATTAGGATCGAATGCTGGTGCAGGTTGGATAATCAACGCCTTTGTGGCATTGACTGCTTGTACAATCGATTGATGGGTTGCTACCTATGCGTGGTTTTGTGTCTATATTTTATGTTCCACTCAGGTTTGGCACCTTGTTTTGGTATGAGTCGAGTGAGATGCATATGGTAGACATGGTTGTAGTATATCTATAGCCTCTTGAAGGTGTTGGTTTTTTAAGTCCGTATCATTCAAACTCTCTTTATTTTTGAGTTATTTAGGATTAGGATTTTTTTTTGATGAAATCTCGATCATTGTCGTTGTCTCTGTATGTTTTCATGTTTTAATTACATAGAAGACGCTATTTTCAAAAAGAAAAAAGGTGTATTTTCAGATATCGAATATCATCCAATTTTAAATTTTGGATATTTGAAAATTCGAAAATTAACGTGTATGTTGGTGAGTGATCCTTGATAAGTTTGAGGGAATGATGTGTAAAAAACTAGTTAATGTAAATTGCTTTATTTGTAGAAGGTTTTAACGTTAATCATCAGTAAATAAAAAATTCACTCGAGCATTTTACGTGTTCTCAAAGCATAGTGATGTCTCTAGCAGTCCAAATCATTGTATTAATTGCACATTGTTATTTTCGTATCAGGTCGGTCCATTTATCATTCATTACCTCATGACTTTTGTCACAACATTTGAATGTCCTCAAAATTGAACCCAGTTGTCCTATATTTACATTTTGATTTTATATGTATTTTAAATTTAATTTCACAAGCAAAACAAATTTAATAAATTTAACTATTTTTTAAAGCTTTATTTTTTATTAATCTATGGTAAATATAAAGCAGTATATGTTTATAGATAAGTCCATTATTTTGACATTGAATACTTATACTCTTGATATTCTTGATGCTCAACTACTGAATCTTAAGGAATAACAACAGTTTATTTACCACCGAAACTGTTTGATTCGTGTTTTTTTAGTACATAATTTAATTTATATTAAAAATCTAAAAAAATAAGAAGAATAAAAGATGATGCCAATATTCATGCAAAAATTTCTCTGTCTTGCACCGTTTAAAGTGGATTTTGACCTAATTGTCTTGTAACCAGACTTGAACATTTATTAACATTAAAATTAAATTCACTCAAGAGTTTAACATAAATCCTACATTAAATGACAAATTAATTTCTTTATGTAAGAATACCTAATTTAAGTAAGTTAGTTGGTGAAAGCCATGGATCCAGCGTGTAAATTAACAAAATGGGAAAATTATAATTGAGGTCATTGGACTATGCTCATGATCATTTGGGTTATTAAATTTTAAAAAAGTTATAAATATATCATTAACTTTTATCATACTGTTGCAGAGTGGTGAGTGGTCATCGAATTGAACAAAGTTTTACCCTTATTATAACGTCACAATGATATTTTATAATAATTTGATAAATTTAATAACTCATTTTATAACTTTTAAAAGGTCAGTGATTAAAATGACCATTAGAACATGATTTGCTTACCTTTAGTGTATTTTTCCCATTAAAAGTTGTTGCCGTAAAATGCAAATGAAGTCTGTTTTATTTATTTATTTATAAATTATACTGTGTAATATACATTTATAAGTTTTACAGTAACAAGGACAGAGTTCAAAGTTGTAATCTTTAAGGTTGGAGGATGAGATTCTGAGTATTAAATCTCTTAATTGGGTTTCTCGATCTGAGATAGACAAATTTGACTCTATCTAAAGGATGGAGCAATCTATTTCCCAGCAGTCACCCAATGCTCTCAGAGGGTTTCGAGTTCAAGCTCCATTGGTAAGTTTTAACGTCGTCTTTTACCATTTTTTTCTATAGTTTTTTTTAGATGCACAGTTGATAAATATGTCGAAAACCTGATTCGAAGATTCCCTACAATTCTACTCTCTGGGATTTAGTTTTCATGAAAATTTGAAGATACCCAGGTGGAGAATCTTTACTTAATCTGGAAAGTAGGATTCTTGAATTTGAGACTTTGGTAGGGCTTAGCTTAGTGTGCTGTACAATGGGTTCTTTGTGCTTTTTGAAGGCTTAGTTGGATTTGTTTATTGATGGTGGGAGTTCTGCTGGGTTGTTCTTTCGTCGGGGAAGCTCTTGATTCTGAGATCAAACACTTTTGACCCATTCTATCATTCTTTTAGCAGTGATTTGGGTTCTATTTGTTTCAATTCTGCGGCTTATCGGTTTTCTTTTCGGCTTGGTTCTACGTTTTAGAGTCTTTTTCTCTTCAATTTTTATGAAGATTTTGCTCATATCATGCTAGATTTGGTATTGTTCATATACATTTTCTTCTTTTAGCTGATACTTTGAGAGATATTACTTTGTTATTTAGAATTTGCTTTTGTTACTTGGTAAAGAAATGAGGAGTATTACAGCATTTATATTATCTCTGAAAAATCTTGGATGCGAAGTTACTTGGAGTTTATAAGGTGAAACTCGTATAATGCGGTTACTGTAACTAGTGATGCCTGCACTGGTTTTAAAATTGGTGAACTTCGTGTTCTTCAGTATACATACATCCCAAGAAATTGCAATTAAAGGAAATTCCCTTCTTTCTTTGAAGACTGCATAGTTCTTGTACTTGATAGATGAAAGAAACTTGGAGTACTGTTTTTCGGTAGACCAAAAAGAAACGTGGAGTATTAGAACTTCTATATTATTTCTGGAAAATCTGAGATGCATAGGTTCTAGGAGTGAAAATGAACTCTTATATTTTGGTTATTGACTAAAGGTAATGATGTGCAAGTAGTTTTAAAATTGGTAAAGTGGATGCCTTCTGGTCTTCGTACAGAACAAGAAATTGCAGATAATGAATTTTCCTGAAGACTTGCATTGTGGCTTCAGTATCTGAAGCTTTCAGTAGAATTCTCGTCACAATGTGGCATCAAGCACATGCAGTGTTAAATTAAACAGCTTTTCATATCAACTAAGCAAACACTCCGGGTAGGAATTATCAAATGTTCATATCTGATTTGTCTCCAGACAAGTTGAAAGCTTTTCTTTGGTTGTCTTCTGGAACTGATAAAGATTGCTGCTTTTTGTTGACATTCTTTGTAAGTGCATTAATTGTGAGTAAGGAAAGCACAAGGATTGATCAATTATGATGTGTATGGATAGTTTTTTTTTCTTTATTTTTTCCTGTTCTACACCTTATTCGTATTCAGAAACTAATTATTTTTTGCTCCCAACTGAAAAATTTTGCAGGTTGATTCTGTATCTTGCTATTGTAAAGTTGATTCTGGATTGAAGACAGTTGCTGAGGCCAGAAAATTTGTCCCAGGATCGAAGCTTTGTATCCAGCCTGATATCAATCCCAATGCACACAAGAGTAAAAGCTCTCGCAGAGAGAGGACTCGAGTCCAGCCACCTCTTCTCCCTGGCCTTCCTGATGATCTTGCCATTGCATGTCTGATTCGAGTTCCTCGTGCTGAACACCGAAAACTCCGTGTAGTTTGCAAGAGATGGTATCGGCTTTTGGCTGGTAATTTCTTTTATTCTCTTAGGAAAAGTCTTGGAATGGCAGAAGAGTGGGTTTATGTCTTCAAACGAGATCGTGATGGAAAGATATCATGGAATGCATTTGACCCTATCTATCAGCTGTGGCAGCCACTTGCTCCAGTTCCAAGGGAGTACTCTGAGGCCGTCGGTTTTGGCTGTGCTGTTCTAAGTGGTTGCCACCTGTACTTGTTTGGAGGAAAGGATCGACAAAGGGGTTCAATGAGACGTGTTATTTTCTACAGTGCTCGGACTAACAAATGGCACAGAGCACCAGATATGCTTCGAAAACGTCATTTCATTGGTTCCTGTGTAATAAATAATTGCCTTTATGTGGCTGGTGGAGAATGTGAGGGAATTCATAGGACTTTACGATCTGCTGAAGTTTATGATCCTAACAAAAACAGATGGAGTTTTGTTCAAGATATGAGCACAGCTATGGTACCTTTCATTGGGGTAGTTTATGATGGGAAGTGGTTTGTTAAAGGGCTGGGGTCCCATCGTGAGGTTATGAGTGAAGTATATGATCCCGAATCTAATTCCTGGTCTCCTGCTAGTGGTGGGATGGTTTCCGGTTGGCGCAACCCTAGTATATCTTTAAACGGACAGCTGTATGCCCCGGATTGCCGTGATGGATGCAAGCTTAGGGTGTATGATGGAGCCACAGATTCTTGGAGTAAGTTCATTGATAGTAAGCTCCATTTGGGGAGTTCTCGAGCCTTGGAGGCTGCTGGCCTAGTTCCTCTCAATGGCAAGCTTTGTGTCATCCGCAATAACATGAGCATAAGTCTCGTTGATGTTTCCAGCCCGGATAAACAGGTTGAAAGCAATCCTCAGCTTTGGGAAAACATTGCAGGTAGAGGACATTTCAGGACTCTTTTTACTAATATATGGTCGAGTATAGCAGGGCGAAGTAGCTTGAGAAGTCATATCATTCACTGTCAGGTGCTTCAAGCATGATAAGGGAGATTGGAATATACCCATCCATGTTCAAATTTCCCGCATTTGTTTAGTTTTTCTTGCCTTGGTAGTCAGATCTCAAATGTTTATTCGTTCACTGATATTTCACAGTTCGGCTCAGCATCTCCTGAATGGAAAAACTGACTATATTCTCCGTTACCTTTCCCGACGTTTTGATTCTTGCTATGGTGATTGATATCAACGGTGAGCCCCTAGGAGAGGGGACTGATATCCACATTAGGAATGTTTCGCTTGTTACCGACTCGAAGAAGTGAAACAACGAAGACGACCAAGGGGGCTTTTGAGATTTTAAAAACAGCTTGGATATTATCCCATGGTGCATTTGCAGGTGAGGTGGTTCACTATTGATCTCAGCTACACACTTATGAGGTTATGTCTTTACATTTACGAAGAGCAGCAGATACATGTAAATCTTTGGTCAATTGAGCTTAGTACTGGTCCTTTTCTGTCGGAACTTTTATCTATCTTTTGTATTATGCAATGCAATTCATCTTATTTCTTGTTCAAGTTGTAGTATGCTAGTCTTTAAGATGCTTTGAGATGTACAAACATATACTTATAAAGATGTTTATATAACGTGTAAAATCAGTATTCTGTTACCCAATAACTGCAACTAAGAGACAATTTCGTTATAAATCGATAATGTTAGTGATTGATATGTTACTTTCGAAACTTCAATAGAAACAACAAAGATATACTTAAATGTTAGTGATCATTTGTATAGCTTACCCAAAAAAAAACTCTCATTATTGAAAAAGACATTGGCAAGTATAGACGATGAGGGTAGAGTTGTAGGCAATGGCAAAAATCGTTAACGATTAACCTACTTTGATTAAAGTCACTCATAATTATTAACACTTTAAAAATGAAACTCCAATTTAAATTAGCATAAGATAGTTTTATTTAAATCACATTTATAATTCGAAGGTCTCCTACGGAAGCTACTCTCAACCTAGTGTTGGGGGCAGCCTACTATCTTACCTTCCCCTTACCCCATTACATATGGGAACAAGGGACAACCATTTATATAAGGACGTTTTTAATTTATTGTTCACCAATATGAATTTTCCTTCAAAAAAATTAAAAATAGCTTAAAATTTATTTTCTTTAATTTCATTATAATTTCTTTTAAAAAAATCTAAAAAACCCAAGTCTTTCACCCTCATGAGGTTTAACTAATCCATAGGGTAGAGTGAGGCACACCTCTGAAGTGAGAGTAGGGAAAAAGATCTAAAAATACACAATCAAAACAGCAAAAGTAACTAATAAATAGGGTTAATTGCCTTTTAACATTATCTATTCTGGTTTTAAAAAAATAATATAACAGGACTTGCCGATTCTAAAATTTATCATATTCTTCTTTCTCTGAAAATAACATACATGCATGGCTAGATACTTTAGAGACTCAATTGTGGATTATTGTCTCCCCCTTCTCTCCACCTATGTTTCTTCGCTTCCATCTTGTTCTTCGTACTGCGTTTTTCCTGGTACGTAAATTTCATGTCATTGTACGAGGATTTCATGAACCAGGTCAAGTTCTTCTTCATGCTGTCCCCGGTAGTTCTCTGCTTCACTTCTTTTCGGGTAACATCCGGTTCCTAGTTCCGGAACCGGACAAGGATCGGCTTCGCCGTGGGGAGTAGCACTTGTGCTTGGCTCCTCTTTTACATGATTCACTATCATTCCTCTTTCCACGAACGCTGGTTTCCGTTGGGGGCCTAAATGATCTAATGCAACGGATATTACAACATGCACGTAATAGATATTGTAACATGCAGAGTACTTGTGACTATAATTGCTAGTCATTTCCGAGAAACAATAATTGATGAACAGTTTCACAAGATATGCACAACATGTGGGCGAGCATTTGTCTGACGAAAGGACAAGGTTCATTACTTTAGTCCTTTTAACGACCATGGAATAGTTGGTTATATGTAAGGACACGTATCAGGAATTAGTTCGTTATTATGAATTTTCTTTTAACCAGTTATCTATTTTATGATTGTGATTAATACTTGTATAAAAATTTTATTTTATTTTTTTTTCTCGGTAAAATAAGATTTTATTAAAGATTCGAATAAACAAACCCGAAACCAACATTATGTGACTCTTTGAAAATCTATCTAAACCTAATTGGAAGAAAAGAACATAACACAGCTCGAAAAAAGATACAACTCGACAACTCAGAAAAGGACAACCACCAACAAAAGCGACAGAACAATACAAATAAATATCCGCAGAAACGCAAATACAAAACCTACCTATGCTGACAAATATCCCTTGCCATCAAGCTTTAAATAGCTCACACAAACCCATCCCTTCTTTGGCCAGATGATCCGCCAGACTGATAAATCTTCTAGGCGCAAAAACGAACTACACTCGTGCAAATGACCAGATCAATCGAACTACTCGACAAAGAAATTGCAACACCGTCGTGATCTCAACATCAAGATTGAAATCTAATACGAGACCACTTTCGCCTATACTAACCATTGAGATTTTTAGAAAGATTTCTAATGCTATTCAAAAGAAACCATAATTGCAAACTCCGGACCATCAACTCAGAACTGAAGCAGCCAATTAGCTACTCCCATTGCTTCCATTTCTTGGCCGACCAATGAACTCAAACCTGGAGCCTACAACACAAATTTCTGAAAACCAGGAGACTCCCACCCACTTCACAGAACCAAAAACCATGACCAGACTATGCTAAAGGGAAATTCAGTCCATTGGTTTCACGAAAAGAAGACAAACTTCACGAACAATATGGAGAAAACATGGCTGCAGCTTCTTCAAAGAAATACCATCAGAATCCGCCAAATCAAAACCACTTGCCGTCGGAAGTAACGGTAAGTTCCCAACTTTCACATGTCCTCAACTTAAACAGACTATCAGAAGAAAAAACTAGAGATTCCAATGGATAAAATTTCCTATTTTCATCTCAACCCAGGAAAGATTTATGCGCGAAGAGAATGCAAAGATATCTGCAAAGGTGATGTTTCTTTCACTCAAAAGTAACACACCGTCTAGTCATCCGGGGAAAGCAAACGTAGTGGCACCATGATGCCTAAGATGTGCTAAGATATGACCAATTCTAAGATGTTGCATTAGGCACATCTTTACTAACTGGGCGTAGATGCCCCAAGGCTCAACGGAGCAAGTTAGCTGGTGCACAATTCGATGTAAAATTTCAGATTTCCACCCTAGGTAGGATAGAGGGGTGCGTGACCTCCGAGATTAAACTCCTCAACCGCACCATGATACCTATGTTTAGCTAGTATACTCACATGCTAATGATTATGAATTAAGTATGTTTTAAGTATAAAAATTAGAGGATGAATGTAGTATAGTTCGGTTATTAGTGTGGCACTGAGCTTGTGAGCTCAGCATTCAGAATTTTTTTTCGTGAGCAGATTAGGAGCATGAGCCTTTGGAGGAGCCTATACTTAGACCGACTAGCACTAGCCGCCAACTTTTGAGTATGTCTCATCTTTTGTACTAGTGGCATGTAATGTAAATGAAATTGTGTATGTCCATCTTTTGTACTAGTGGCATGTAAAGTAAATGAAATTGTGTATGTCAGGTCAAAATGTAAATTTGAATATTTTGTAAATCTTAATTTCAAGTATTTCGGGGACTCCGAATATGTAAATAATTTACATGAATTTATAAAAAAAAATTGTATGTCAATGTATGGATTTATGCAAATGATCTTGTTGAATTTTAAAGAAAAACTTTGGTAAACCTCTTTTATGGTTCTTGTAATGTCAGTCTGTTGGTCTTCGGATCTTACTAGATTAGGACGTTACAATGTGTGAGTATATATATATATATATATATATATATATATATATATATATATGTTGTGTATTATATATATGCACATATAATAGTGTGTTTACAACACCATATTTGATTGGCAGGGCTTGGTGCACGAATCTGACGTGGATTCCTTCAATACACCTTACTATTACCCATGTGAAGAAGAACTTAGGGAACTCATCGAAAGAGAAGATAGAAATTTTTAAATTGAATTGGGATTTTGAAGATAGTGGCTATAATGAAAATTTTGTGTTCGAGAAGGGTAGAAGTGGACAAAATGTTGCAGATTGCATAAGAGCAATTACTGAATCAATGCTTGCCGATCATTTTGGAGATACCATCATTGATGATTTGTTCACACAATATGCACGGTGGGTGAGCATTTGTCCCATGAGAAGACAAAGCATGTTAGTGTTGTACTTGTTTTTTTTTTGTTTCGGATGTGAGACGATTGATTGTGTCTGAGATGTTCGGTTACGAAAATTCTAAGAAGGTTCAATTTCAGTTTTCATGTTAAATTATGGATTGATGGTGAAGTAGGGTTCAGTATATAGTCCTCGAAATAATAAAAGAAGTCTTTCATAGTTTGATTAAATACATTTATTTTTCTCAAAGGCTAAGCAAATTCCCCAAGCCAATGCTCTTTATAGTTGCAGAAGAAAAAGAAAAGAAAAAACTCGTGCTGCTAATTTTTAGTCCTTAGTGTTGGGTAGCTTACTAAGAACAGAGTGCTCTGGTTTGTGCTCACATTCGAAGTCGAGATGAACGAATGCACGCTCGACTTCTTGAAGTTTCTCGATCTTTATCTGCAATGTCTCTCCGATTTGATGTGCTTCTTTCAATGGCAAATCCTCAGGTAGTTCGATGTCCACCTGTATAAACAACATCACCAGCGTCTCATATGCACACATTTCGTTTAACTGCATGTGACGGGATGGATCGCATGAAACTAACCTCGACGAAGTAAAGAACGCCGAACGTGTAGGCTCGGACCGTGTCGATACGCTTGACTCCATTATGTCTGATGACAAGATATGTCAGTTTTTGTAGGAACTCGGGAGGAGCTGCTTGCCCTACTAGAGAAACTGCATCAAGACAACCTCGTATTCAGTTTGCTGTATGTATGCATGAATAACTGGATAACCTCAAATGATCATATCAGATAAATCCTTGGCTTACCTGCATTTTCCATAACAGTTCCCGACCAATTCGTTATCGTGTAAATTGCGAGGATGACAGCACCAGCAGGATCAAGCCACCAATAATATTTATCGCCCAGAACAGCTGCGAGTAATCCTACTACATTTGTTACAACGTCGAAATAGTGATCCTGGGAATCGGCATTCGAAAAAGTTACACAAGCTGTCAATCACAAGCAAAGTGAAAAATAAAGAGAATCCATAAGAAAATCGAGCAGAAACCTTTGCGTAAGCCCGGACGATCTTGTTCGACGAGCTTCTGCAGTAAAGCCAGAGGGCCAGTTTTACAACTGTAGCAGTCAACATGATGGTGTATAACCATAGCAACTTCTCTGCTGACATTTTTTCTGAAGGTACATTTGCTACTAACTGCTGCACAGCCTGGATCAACACTTGGAACCCTGCATGTATATGTGATGTTATAAGTGATTCATTGACATAAACAGTCCAAAAATTTGTTTCTGAAGACACACACACACACATACATACATACATACATCAATATATATAGAGCAAGAGTCCAGGGAGATTATGGATAGGTAAAAGATTAGACATTCATACACACACACATACATACATACATATTTAAGCCAGCAACGAACAAGGGATAAACCAACCTAGTGTAGCCATCACTGCAGCAAAGATGACTATGCCTACTGGCTGTATCCTTAGTTTTCCAATAGGATACTTGTAGATGTTTGTGGATTTCATTGACAAGTGAGTGAACCAGAGTATGCCGCCGGCCATGAGATCGAGCAAAGAATCTAATGTAGATGCTGCAATGGCTATGGAACCACTCCTTATGGTAGCATAGAGCTGCACAAACACTGGTAATGTTTACTTTTAACAATTCAAACACAAACGATACAGCAGAAAAAAAGTTTTGATTTTGAAATCTTGACAGAAAAGAAAAGACCTTAAATACTAGCAAGATGATATTTGCATAATTGGAAATCCTCATGGCTCTCTCATGTTGAATCTGCTCTTCATCTTCATAATCATCATGTTCTCCATCAGTGGTCTCAGAAGGATCGACAGCATCGACTTCTTCAAAGTCTTTCAATGTCTCGAATTGTGTTTTGTAGTATTCCTTTACACCTAACCAAATAATAAGAAGAAAAAGCACAATCGAAAGCTATTTTCCAGCCAAAACGTTTCTCGGAAACCAAAAATGAAAACTGGGGGGGGGGGGAGAAGACCTGAACTTAAGCCTTTGGTTTTGGAGACATCAATGTCGTAAGGGGATTCAGCGTCGAGACCTGCTCGAACCTTGTCCGGCAACCTCAACAAAAAATCGTTCCTAAGCGAGTTCACCGAGTTACGGCGACCGAACCGCCCACTTCTGCCGCTCTCGCTCTTCGTCAGAAACGCCGACCGTAACCCAGAATTCGATTCACCCTCCATTTTTCTTCCCGGATCCAAAATCAGCCCTGAAGCCCGAATCCGATAAGATGTCAACTGAGTCGGTTAGTTTCAAAAATTCCAAACGGACGCCATAATAGTACTGCACGAAGTCGGTTTTGTTCGCGGAAAATCCTTGTTTGTTTCCTTAGAAAAGTTGGGTTCTTGTCCAGACCGATGAGAGCTGAATCATGACATCAAATTAAATACTACTATTTGATTGCATCTAGCAGTTAAAAATTCTATTCTGACTTTTCTGGGATCTCTTAACCACCTTGCCCTTTTTTCTCAATTATGCTGGTTGGCAGGTGAAAATATCTGCCTCCTGCTTTTTCCATTTTTATGATCAATCATTCTATAATTTGACGATTTTTCCTATATATCATCGGTGATCGGTAATATTATCGATCTAACATCGATTAGATTATATTTCTCGATCTAACACCCTTAGCAGTAAAGCGCGCCTCCTGCACCGCGCTATATGGTGAGCTGACGCCACGTGGGTATAGCGCGACCCCTGCAGTGCGCTATACTTGTATATCTGACACGTGAGGTATAGCGCGGTGCAAGGGCCCCCTATACTCCTAACTACCTACCCCTCCTCCCTATAAATATCTCATTCTCAATCAATTTTATCACACCAAAATCTCTTAAATTCTCTAAATTTCTCTCAAATACTCTCTTTTTAATTTTATAATATTTTTACTATTATATTTTTACTTTATTTAATATTTTACTAACATAATTCTTTTGAAGATATATAATGGAAGGCAGTCTACTTCGCTCAGATGGAAATCATATATCTCTACACTTTGCTGATACGACAACATTTTAACGTTTTAATTTAATTTAAATTATTAGTAATATTTAGTTATTTATTTAATGCATGATTATTATATTAATAATTAAATATCTCGACACTTTGCTGATACGATAATATTTTAACGTTTTATTTTATTTTAAATTATTATTAATAATTAGTTGATTCATTTAATGCATGATTATTAGATTAAGAATTAATTTTTGTAATTATTTATTTTTAGGAGAAGGACCGTGTAGTAGATCATTTTATTAGGAATCTTAAGTTAGTGATACCCAGTAGTGTCTTGTCGTATTTAGTAGAGGTTGGATTCGGTTACATAGGTATATATCAAGGTCACTGTAAGATAGAGCCAGACCTGATTTCTGCCTTAGTAGAGCGGTGGAGGCCGGAGACCCACACATTCCATCTTCCGTGCGGAGAGTGCACGATCACGCTTGAGGATGTTTCTATGCACCTGGGGCTTCCGGTGGATGGAGATGTGATATCGGGGATAGCTTCCGGTTCTTGGACTGGTTTGTGTCGGGATAGTCTAGGACGTGTCCCGGAAAATTTTATCGGATGTAGGATACCGTTAAATTGGTTAGATGCCAATTTTCGGGAGTTGAGCGCAGACGCCTCTGAGGATGAGGTTAAGATGTATGCACGGGCATGCATATTGCAGCTGATAGGAGGGTTGTTGATGCCGGATAAATCACGCAACCTAGTTCACTACATGTGGTTGCGACATCTTAGCGACTTTCGTCTCGCCAAATCATTCAGTTGGGGCTCGACAGTTTTGGCTTTGCTGTACAGGGAGATGTGTGGAGCCACTGACTACAGGCGTAATGCTATCGGCGGATGTCTCCTTCTGCTGCAGTCTTGGGCATGGTATAGATTGCCCTTTTTATGTCCCGTTGTGAAGAACACATTCGTATTTTCACGACTTCTGAGGTAATTATAAAACTGATTTTGTATATTAATAATTTTATACAGCGTATAACAAAATTTTTTCCTTGAATAGGTGGTCTACTGATAGGAAAAATCATCAGGAGCTACCTGGTGATTTAGAAAAGATTAGGGTGCTAATCGATCAGAAGGCTGGCGCACAGGTATGAATTTTAATGTTTAAAAATCGATTTTAGATTATAGTTATATAATTAGATTATTATTTTGATAAAAATTATATATTATTTGTTTTAGTTTGAATGGGTGTCATATTCTACTGATGATGTGAGGGCGGTGATCCCACCTGAGTTGAGGGGTCCATTAGATGTTTGGATGGCGATGGTCCCTCTGATCTGTTATGCGACCGTCGAGTGGCACTCCACTTATCGCGTGCTCTGGCAGTTTGGTTGTTTTCAACCAATTCCGGAAGCACCTTGCAATATGGATGAGTTGCATTAGCTTAGATAGACGCGGCAAGACAGATACAGATTGGCTGGTGAGGCATCATGAGTGGGTCGTGTTGTGGGAGGATCGATATCGGCGCCTTCCACATAGAGAGCCCATTTTTACTGACTTCTTGATGTATACTGAGGATTATTATGAGTGGTTCAACAGTAACGTAAAAACCGTTTCTACTTCCCGAGGATGCACGAGGGCAGACCTTTCCACGACGTCGACAGAGACGTTCACCGACACAGCACCATCGTCTCCCGACTCGTGGATGGAGAGCAGGTATTTTCGGTTCATCCTCAGCTGCACCAGCAGGACCTTCCCAGCAGCCACCGCAGCCATATAAGATGCCGCAGCCATATATGATGCCGCCATCGCCTTTCCATTACCAGATGCCGCCGCCGCCGCTTTCACCCGGTTTTATGACCCCCGCTACCGCCACCGTCACAGATGACCCCTCATGGAGGCTATTATGGGTCTATGTTTGCAGACTCGACTTGGGGTTCATATACTGGATATTTAGCGGGTTCAAACTCATCACCCATGGCCGCAGCACAGACACCGCCTCCTGTACAGTTTTCACACTTAGCGATGTCTGGGTTTTATGACTTTTCCCAGTTTTCGCAGGCCGGTGGGATAGTCAGTCATACACCTCCAGGGTCCTTATTCTACGGAGGTGCTTCATCATCATCAGTTCCTCATGTACCTGCGCAAGACGACGACGACGACGACGACGGTGATGATGATGACAGCGAGGAGTCAGAACCAGTGATACGATGACAACATTTCCTCATCAATTGTTACTTGATGACAACAGAAGTGGACATGTTTTTCTAGTGTGTCCTGGATTTCTACAATGCCCACATCTTCTGTCTTGTCTAGATCTTTCTCTAATATACATATCGCAATGAATTCGATTGGATTTTGGACGACCACGCTCCCACAATAAACTCAGATTTGGTACAATCGGAAGCCAATCTTGAACCTCATCATGGTCTTTGTCATTACCTATGGGGGGGAACTCAAATTAGTATACCTTAAAAACTTCAGATAGTAGGTATACGGGATCCACAAAATGGTTATAGTCTTGACGTGTATGCGAGCAAGCTGCTATCACATGAGAGCATGGATACTTCAGAGCTTGAAAAAACCCGCAGTCGCACGTTCTGTCCCTTAGATTTACTCTTAACGACACAGCTTCAATCCCTTGAAGAGGTCGCGGTAACTCTGTGACACGAAACATTTCATGCCTTCTAGAGAAGCTTGTTACAAACATTCCATTTGATGCATCAATTTTTTTCTGTAGATCTGCAACTAATCTAGGGTGATAGACATGACCGCCTTGCATCCAGGTTTTAGCTTGTCCCTCGAGTTTTGCAAAAAGCACCCCCAAACGAAAATATATAGTCTTTACCAAAGCCGCTACAGGTAAGTGACGTGCACCCTTTAAGGTTGAATTGATTGCCTCTGCCAAGTTGGTCATCATGTGTCCATATCGATATCCACCATCATATGCGTTCGTCCACATTTCTTTATCGATAAGGCTGATGTAATCATATCCTTCCTCGTTCTTCGCCCGCAACTCTTGAAACATTGATTCAAACGTTCGAGGAAGTAGTTCGTAACCTGATCAAAAAATATATAACTTACTAACTTGATGTCTTTGCAAAATTAAAACGATCGAAAGATAACAAACTTGCTAAGTTTCACTTACCCATGCGCACAATTAATTGACGCTCATCATTCTTCTTGTACCTTCCATGGTAGTTCACGGCAATGTGTTGACGACAATACCTATGTTGGACAAAGGGTGGCTGCCACATTGGACCCAAAGACTCCATTGCTGCTTTGATCCCAGCTCCGCGATCTAAAATGACATAAATGTTTTCCCTCGTGATAACATGTGCACGTAAATTTTGGAGGAAAAAAGCCCAAGAAGCTGTATCTTCTCCTTCGACAAGAGAAAAAGAAATTGGAAGAATGTTGCGATTGCCATCTTAGACAACTGCCAATAATAAAACTTGCTTGTATTTTCCATACAAGAAAGTCCCGTTGATCTGGACCACAGGCTTGCAGAATTTGACAGCATTAACGCATAGTGGGTAACTCCAAAAAACCATGTAGAATTGGCATCGATCGCGAAGAACTCGATCATTATGGTATGCATAGGAGGTTTCGAAGTCCACAATTGTCCCAGGATTCAACGTTCGCACCAGCCTAAACCAACCTGGAAGTTCGTTGTAAGATGCATCCCATTCGCCATGAAGTTTGACAATGGCATTTTGTTTTGCCAACCAAGCTTTTTTATAGGAGACAGTGTACCCATACTGCGATTGTATAGCTGAAATCAACACTGCAACAGCTATATGAGAGCTTTCTTTGACCATGGGCATGATGGCTTGGCATATCACTTCAGAGTCCAAGTTGGGATGATCTTGGGTGACCCCTCCAGAACATGTGTGAGGACCGTTGTATACTGTTAGTTCCCATATGTTGTTTTTCCTCTTCAATACGCGAACCATCTAATTGCATCCGTTTTCGCGCTGGGCACAATAGCATACATATTTTTCGGTCGTGGAGCGGTCTACTCTGGACTGAACAGAATTACGAATATTGTAATTTTTTATAGCCATCATCGCTTCTTCTTTGCTTGAAAACTTCATGCCTAAAGATAACTCACCATTATTTATTGATGATTCTGGTCCGTACATTGCACCATAATCAGCTTCATACATGTGTGCAGGAGGGTCAGTTTGTGCCACATTTCCTGGAACTTCATCATCATCGGAGTTGAATTGCGGTGATTATGGGTCAATGAACAGTCCAGTCTCAGCACCATCCGCACCAAGCTCACGAAGCGGTTCTTCTGGTGGAGATGATGGTTCCTCCATGCTCTCCACATTTAGGTCAAAGAACCTACTACTTGCACGTCTTCCCCTTGAGCTGGAAGGCATATCGACATTGAGATTGAAAAAACT